AAACCATTAATTCAGCAATTATTTACCAGGTTTTCCATATTGGTCGCAGAAAAGCGTCTCATCAGTGTCATCATAGGGTCCACAATCCGGGTCTCCGTCGCAAATTCTGTTCAAAGGGAAGCATTCCAGGTCTTGAGGAACCCCATCCGAAAGGAAATACGATCCCAGACAAGGTCTGTTGAACCCCGGGTCGTAGAACCCTTTCCCACAAATTTCTGAAGAAGAAAAAAAATCCTTCGCGTGATGTCTGATTTTCAACGCTACGAAAACCGCATGCAAAGAGAACATAAGTTTATTTCTTAGCAAGAAAATGAAGAAATATGTTGTCTTTTCAACACTGCAAATTATACTCGATTTGTTTCCAATGCACCTCATTTTAAATTAGAAGAAATATCGCACAATGCAAAATATCTAAAAAAAAAACTATCCATCAACTATAGTTCATGGTAAATTCTTCAATCTGTAAAAGTATGCTGTATTCAACACTGCGAATTATAGTTGCAAAATACAGTAATATTTTTCAAATCCAGCTCACTCTGAAAGTCTGAATTTGAAAAATACATTATTTGAAAATCCTGATTGCATAGAGAAATTATCAAACAGTAGTTTAAGATATATTACCCACCATTTTCCCCTCAATCCCTGTGTGTATTTCTCACTATGATTTCCTTTACTATTTCATAGGTGTCGCTGCAATATTTCTTATGTCAATATTTCATCATTTACTGCAGATTACCTGCATCAAATTCAATTAGACTCCAGCACTTATGCCTGATTGGATTCAATAAAGGAACTGTAGTTTGTATTTTTTCACATTAAGGCAGCAAACTGTATGCTGCATAATGTATTGCTACAAAGCTTACAGGTCAAAGTTGCTCTCCTCTGAGCTCTTTTTTTTAATACAGCAGAAAAAGTAGCATTTGCCGGATTGGGTTACTTTTTTGCAAGTCTACTTTCTGAGAAATTGCATGTCAAAATCTTTCAGGAAGCTTTTTGATTTGCATTGTTAAAAACAAATTACTGTACCATATATACATGTTGTGCCAGGGATATTATAAAGCTAGGGAATGGTCTAATTTAAGTTATATTAGATTTTCAAAATTTACTGATTCAATGCATATTCCAATAGCAACGGATGATCTCTCTAATTTCACGAGTATTTGAAAATGCATCAAGATTGTGTCAGACCCTTGCTTGATCGTCCTCGCTATAATGATAATAATTCCTATGAGGCTGACACTAGGAGCAACAAGGTTAAAGTTCTTGAAGCTGTTATTCCAAAACAAATCTAGATGTCGCTATATTGAAGAAGGAAAAAGTGTGACGGGTGTTGAACTGTTGATTCTGCAATGACGCGAGTGCATTTTTGACAATAATGATAATAAAAGGGATATAAATTCAAATACCTGCAAGAGCATTATCGTTGAACGAAAGCAAGGTCTTATTCTGACACTTGAAAACGTTCCAGGGCTGTGGGAGACGATAATCCGAAGTGAAATTCAACCCAGTGTCTTGTTCCCAACGATTAACTATGTCCGGGTTCATTGAAAACCCGTCGGTCACGCCAAAAGATGCCATCAGTTGACAAGGGTTTTTTCCCTTCATCCAAGGCTTTTGTCGCCTGGATTTCGCCGGCAATAGAGCCCTGGTATTCTTGACCTTTTTGGATCGAATTTCTTTCATGGGTTCATCCCACCTATGATAAGGATATGAGTCTTCATGATTTCACTGCATATTAATGAGAAAGATTGTAATAACTGATGAAGCCATCAGTGATTATAAAAATAACTTTCATATTCGCTTTACCATTTTTTGACAGATCTGTGATCAGGTGAAAATAATGATGCTGATGTACCCAAAATTATTAAATTAAAAATTCTCCTCAGGTAAAGTTTTTTTCAATTAAACGCTGCAAAAATGACACATTCTTAAAAAATAAACTGATGATTAGACTTTAATCTGATTTTATGAAGCACCATCTTTAAATAAAACCTTTTCTGAATCATCATACAGATTCCATTTTATTCATGTGTAATGATGCATGTAGCACTTTCAGTTTTCTTTATCCATGCTTTATAGGTAAATTTTTATTAAACAATATTTAAATAAACAGACAAAATTTAATGATGATGCATGATGAGGTGCACCAGGTGCAGTATTCAAGAGTTTAATTTATATCCAAACTAGAATTTTGTCCCAAAATGCGAGAATCCATCATGTATGCAGGGTGAGCCAAAAAAAATTAAAGCAAATTTTAATTCCCTAAAAGCAGCTCTGGAGAGCAGCTGCTTATGATGAAAAAAAGTCCCTGGCAACATTTTCTTCTAAAGTCTCAGTTCAAATGGTTTTTGTGACCATGCTGTGGCATTTGGTTACAGCACAAAATCAAATTTCATTTGAAAGGAAATTGAACAAGCTTTTATTTGGTGTTTTCTATTGTTGCAGCTTGATTTGCTGCTGGGCTATTTTTAAAATGTGGTTCAATTCATTTTTGATCAAACCTGTATACAGAACATAACTTAATTTATGATCAAAAATTTGAGACTATTGAGCCTCATTATATCTTGAAAAAAAGAGGGATAATGTTTCTGAATAAATTTTCATTCCATGGACACATATGAGATGAACAAAAAAAAAATTCCTTGGACAAATTACCGACGTTCTTCCTCCAGAAAAGGCCACTTTTGTCGCTGTGGTGCTGCTTTTGAACTTGGGGTTTGCCAATTGACATAACTGTCAGTGCAGAGTGTCCTGTAGTCTGGTTTATTATCTGTTTAAGAAGGATAATATACGTCATTTTTATGGCATTCTACAAAATTTAGTGAATCAATATTGCGAGAACCATCTCCCAGTAGCATGCGTTTTATCCTGCGGTCCAGGTGTAGAACATGCTGCAGCCTTGGGGGAAGTTTGGTCCTATCCTTTTTCTCTTGATACATGAGTCTGGATCTACTCATCATGTTGAAATTGCAGATGGTGACAGCAGGGAAATCCACATAATCATCATCAACCACCTTGTGATTGAAACATTCATGGATTATATCTTCCTAAATTATGCATTTGTAATGCAGTACAATTGAACCTGGATAAATTGAACATCCACAAGTTTTATATTTCTCCCCCTGCACCCAAAATAGAATTTTTTCTGGTCTCTGTCTGAATTCACCCCTTAGAATTACTACACTGAAAACCTTTCTAAGCCAAATGATTTTTCCCACAAACCTTCATAAGTAAAATTTTATGTGACCTGTTTGCTTTTATTTTCTTGGCACAAGAAAGAAAAAGCAATAAAAACATAAATTGATTTTTCAAGGAAGTGAAAGATTTGATTGGGCAAATTAACCCCTGCCTCCAAGTTGAGCATCCTTTCAACTCATTTAAGAAGCAATTTAAGCTCCAGAACATCATACTTTACAAAGTTGGTCAATTTTTGCTCAATTAAAAACCTCTGTAAGTCAAATTTATTTTCTGGTCCCTTGAAATTTGACTTGGAGAGGTTCAACTGTACTGTACTGAAGAAGTGACAACCAAGTGTCACACAAGCCCAAGGTTGGCCAAATACAATATTTTCTGTACACCAGTAAGAAACATTTTGTCAATAATTAATTATAGGCAGAAAAATATGGGTGTGCATCTTACTGAAAAAGATGCGCATGTATGTAATACAGTTGAACCTTCTAAGTCAAATTTCATAGAACCAATGAACAAATTCCACTTCAGGAGTTGGGGGGACCAGGTTTTGAGTTAGAGAAATGAGCATTTTTTTGGGAAACAGAGAAGAGTTGCACAAAATTGTAAATGGTGAGATTCTGAATTTCTTCTTAAATGAGTTGACAGGATGCTGAATTTGGGAGGCTAGGAGTTCATTGGCCCAATTAGCATTTTCCTCCCTTTTAATGTGTTAACTGCTCTTCTCTATCCTCTAACAAGGAAATAATAGTCAAAAAGCCTCAGAAAAATTAACTGCAGAGGTTTTTGAGAGAAAAACTTGAAGTTAGGGAGGTTCTTAATGCATTGTTTCTAAAGGATATCAGACAGGATTACAAAACAAATTAGACTCAGGGAGGTTAGAGTTATCAAGGTTCAAGTCAACCTTACTGAATTAAATAGGGTGCCACACAAAGTTCCAGAGATCTAAACTGAGTGATACATTCCCACACATCCAGAAAAAAATTACAAGGATCACAGGTGATGAAAATGGGGGAATGAATTAATTTTATGTAACAATTTTCTGTGCGTATTCCATCTTTTGGTACCTCAGGGTTCTCTCCCCATGTCATAAAGGTACCCTATGACTAAAATTTCCCTGCAGTAAATTTTTCTGGCTCCTTCGAGTTTTGCTGTAGAGGGTCCACCCGCATCTTATGAATGCTGCAAAAGGATGAAAATACAGTAGCTTATTCTTGTACTACATAAGTCACTCACAGAGACAGACACTGATTTCGGATGCGCCATGTACTCATCCACAATCCCCATTGACTGTAGTATTGTAAAGTATAAACACACTAGCATGACAACCACCCAGAAAGTCCTCCTGAAGTTCGTCCCCAGCTTGAATAAGTGCTGGACACCATGACCACTATACATTTCCACAAAGTACTGTTTGCAGAATACGTAGTACCCGGTATGACAACAGGGGCAATGCCTTTCCTCCACAATGCTTTTCTCGTCACAATTATCCGTAATACCCTGGATAGTTCTCAGAGAAACCTCAGAGGTTTCCGGAGTTTCCAGTTCTCGCATCACATAAACGAATCACTGAACAAAAGGGACACACTGATGCTCGAAATTCAACTGACGAGTCAGTAGCGATTCTGAAGCCAATTTGGGCCGGATTATGAATCAGGACGAAAAGTAAGATGGCAGTGAATTTATGTGCCCGCTGGATTTGGACAGAATTACGCTTCCCGGGCGCCTGGAATATTTATTGCAGCCATGAAGACCTTTGGGGTTCACAGGGAAAACATTTGAAGAAACCCTGACCCACCTCAAGAACATCGTCTGGGGATTCGAAATTTAATTTTATTCCAAAAACAAAAAAGACACCAGAGCAACAAGGAAGAAAACGAAACTCCAAAAGAATCAACGTCAAAAACACATCACTTCACTAGACCAAAACGTTGTGCACGAGATCGTTTCTTTTCATCATCAGTTGACGAAGTGGTTCCACGAAAACGAATAGCCCTTTGTAACTTGCGTTGTCCCACTTCCTTGGCTGGAGCCACATTTGCCGCAGGTTTCTGGGTGTTCTCCGCCGCGGTTTGATTTACGGAACGCGGACTTCGGGTAATTCCTCTACCACGACCACGCAAAGGAATTTTGGATGCTTTGACAGAAGTGGTAGTGGAAGTAGTTTTCGTTGCTGCGGCAGCAGGAGGTTTCACTTCTCCAAATCTGTTACGTCGAAAACCATTCAGAATTTGAACTACATTTAGTCAAGGTGAGGCTCTAGCTTCTTCGTCTCGAAGTCATCTTTCAACGAAAAATTACTACACTTCGAGTCAGTCGAGCTGGTAATGACAATTACCGATATTGATGATTATCAGGACTCGAATAGTTAGAAGCCAGATACTTAGATTACGTAACCAAACTAACATTCGGCGAGTTGGGTGGGGATTGAATATTTTTAATCGGTCTCCAAAATAATGATGTGTGCTCGTCATTTTCGGTGTCCAATCGCTTCAACTTACAGAGAAACATTACGTTAGTTCACACTCACTTCCTTTTCAACATACACCGCATATACAGCATACGGTATCGTATGCTGTATATGCGGTATCCATTCTTCTGTTTAATCTGTCCTTACCCGAGCATATTTAACGAATTTATGAGCTCCTTCTGCCGTGCATTTCCTTCAGTAGGAAGTTCTTATTCGCAACTCTCAGCCACTAGTTTAAACGCTCGACTTTATCTGAATATGTAACGCTTCACCCGCACTAATTGTACGTTATATTAAGTTTCAATCTTCACAGTGGTGCAGCCGTGGACAAAGTACAACAGTGTGCACTGTTGAAACACCATTTCTCGAAAACAAAGGTTTACCTCGCGATCCTCGCTAGCTTGGCAGTGTTCTCATTCACGATTCCGAAACGTTCAGCACGTTTCAACTTCAGTTCAGCTTCTTTGCCCAAAGGTACAACTTTTTCAGTACTTGACGGCTGTTTACAAAGTAACATCAGTCAAAAAGAAAACGATCAAACCGCTAATGGAAAAGGGAACTCACCGATAAAATTATAGGCTTATGCTCCTGAACACTCTTCAAAGGCAATTCCTCGTTGAAAACTATTGGATTATGCTTCTGCGGCTTCTGGACCGGAGTTTCGTCGACTTTCTCTCGATCAACGTTTTCGGAAACCGAGGTAGGCTTTGCTGTGGTATGCTTCGCGACACCGTGATCCAGCACAAATTCGTCGTCATCCTGTAAAATACATTTTCCTTATTGAACACTCATTTGAATCGAAATTCACGATTTATGAACTAACGTCGAGGATATGATCATCCAAAGCTTCATCTACTCGGCCATCAACTTCTCCAAGCAAAGCTTCTTCGTCAATATCTGCGTAGAGGAGACAAATAATGTACTGTATATCAGGGTTCAAAATCTCGCAGTTATGTCCTTACCAGCATACGGAGACGACATGATTGGTTTTCCTTTCTGATCAGAACAACCGACTATAAACGCTGCGCACGAAGAACTCACACCTTGCCATAAAACATGAAAACATTAAGAAACGCCACTTGCACTGCAACAATAACAAGCTCGGTGATGAACTCGCGCGTAGTACATTAACGAGGCGAAAGATGCGACAGGCGCAGTTAAATCAGTTGCTTTTTGACTAATCAGGGCTTACTCTGCACGGTTTTCCTCCTCATCCGAGCAAACAGAAGAGCAGACGTTCACATCATTCAACACATATGTTTAAGCAGATTGAACTTATCTAGTTGAGGCGTCACTAACCAGTACACCTTTGCTCAACTAAGATTTGACCAACACTGTCCAAAACCACGAATGATGGAAGCCGATCACAGTACTTTCTGGATTTAACAGGCAGTACGCACCTGAAATCTCACTACCAGTCACAAGGAGCCGCCATGATTTACTGCTGCTGCCCTCTATCATCAGACATTTTTTCACATAAGACATGTTTGCTGCGGTTAAAAAAAATTTAGGGAACATAAAATAATTTATTGTAGAGATAATTTTGTTGCAGAGCAGCCTAAACATGGGGAGAGAAAACCTATATACAATGTATGGGGATTGCAAAATTCGTTATATAACACACAAAATCTTTACAGAATTACTTTGAAAATTAGATACACATGGTACATTGGTGATCATCTCAAGTTTTATTTATGTCATGTTCTTATAAACCATGCTGCTGATCATTCAACTTCCATATTCTACTCTAGCCCCTATACAAATGGAAAAAAGAGATGCTGTAGATATAGGTCACCAAAATTATTAGGGAATATTTTCAAATTTAAGTGGGAAAATAATACAGTATATTTATTTAAATATATTGTATGATCTGATTAATTATTGTTTGGTTTCCTCAGAAAATTAATAAATACAGCGTTCATGTGCGCAAACACGGGAAATATTGATTCGAGTGTACTAAAAATTCAAATATTCTCCCAGAATCCTTTCATAAAGGATGATGAATGTTCATCCATCAACGTCGATCCAAAAAAGGCACCTGCAATAAAATGCCCCGATATTATTACTCATGATCAATCAAAATCGATTGACAATTTTGTTCATTGGGTCACAGATAATACAAATATTGCATCGGGATTATTTTCCATTCATAAAATATGCCCTTGTATTTCCGCTTTCTTTTTCTGGCATTATTTAAAAAAGTTGCATATTTACATCATGCCCTTGGTCGCAAAAAAAAACACAAACTGACAATACTTTCACATGATCACTTGATCTCGAATTATTATTTCAGTACACAATAAAAAAAACGGTCTGGAACTTTCAGACTTAGGAAAATCTCGAATTGAAAAAGATGCTTGTGGTAGCAGAAGTTGCGTTTGCTGTCATATCACAACAGTGTTGCCACATGCAGGCTTCCCCTTCAGATCTTGGGTACAGCAGCAGAGCCAAAACAGGGTTTCAGGCTACACCTGATGTACTCATCCGGCTGCACAATAACGTACATTCCATTTGAATACAGTAAAAGACATTTTCTTGGAAGAGCTTTCTCATGAAACTTTCAACTCACTCTCTCTATGGCTGTACAAACTGGACTCCTTGCTCTGTTTAACACAGCCTGCAAAAGCAAGATGGCGTCTCTGTCACTGGCTAGAGTTGGCTCTTCCAAATAAGAAGTTGAAATTTCTTTCTGGAAGGCTAGTTGGTCGAATGACCCATCTCCTCTCAGCTAAAAGCAAACAGAGAATACAACCATTAGTCAAAATTTCTATAAAAAAGATACAGCATTGTCAAATAACATATACCAGCCATCTTCATAAACAAATATATTCAAATAATTCTGTTCAAAGGGCATAATAACTTTTACGTTGAATATTTTTCAATGGTCAGTTTTACTGGTGTAATATGCTTTATGGAAATGAGAAATTTAGAAAAATTAGAATTATGAACTGGAATCATTGACTAAAGTTGATAATTCATTCATCACATGCCATATTACCCTTTTCTTGATCATTAAATTTTCTCTTTCGTTTTCACAAAAGTTCTGAAAATTAATTTGCAATGTTCAACTCATTTTAGAACAAATTTTAATGTTGTGCAAGCTGAATTTCAACTGAAGACTGCTGCTTCAAAATTAAGATATAGTACAAGTACAGTAGCTTGTGACACATTCATTGATATATGCTGGTGATTCCAAAGAATGGGAAAAGTTGGGAATAATGTTCTTTGAACAAAGCGAAATCTTCTTTCCATTATTCAAGCATTATGAAATTCGACATTAAAATAATTGGAACTCACGTATCCCAAGTTGGCATAGAAACATTGGTCAAACCTGGCTCCGATTTCTCCGCCAGGCAAAGAATCTCTCCTCCATGTTGCAAATTCATTGAGTCTCGCATAAGTTGACACTGCGAGTTGAGGGCATTCCGTCTCAATTGGCACTAAACAGAAATTTAAAATCGCATTTGAATACCAGCAGCATCTGCTGGGTTACGGACGACGTACCTCTCGGTGAGTAACGAGCGACACCTGCGTTCAAGTCCTCAAGACACAAGCCGATCACTTCCAGCCTCCGCATCTCCCTGGCACCCGAATAGAACGCTTTTCCGCATCTGCATCCGTTCTCCAGCTGGAACACAAATCAACCGAAGTGCGATCAACTTTAAATGCACATTTTGCTGTTGAACGAAGCTCACGGTTTTCTGGAAGCTTGACAAGTCTAGAGCTGTTCTGGCCGTCACAGAGCTCACCACAGCAGTTAATGCTAGCACAGTAGCTGCTTTTGAATTCATTTTTTTTTACCTTCAAAGCTCTGGGATTTGAGGGAAAAAGAGTAACCTAGAGACACCAGCGCTCTGTGAGCAAATCCTGCAAGAGCCAAACAGTGCTTGAATGAAGCTCAATTTTTTTTAAACTCATTATGGACTAACAACATGAAATGCAGCAAATTAAGTTGCTGATGGATGATGAATGAAAAAATAAAATAAATATGATGCATAAACAAATAATTTGAATAATTTCTTCTGCGTAACCGTGCAAGGATTATACTCACCCTTGAAAACTGCGAAATATTCCTGGCTATTATTTCGTGAATTTAAAAGAGAACTTTCTTTGTGATTATAAATGAAAAATTGTATCTAATAAGCTACAAGAGGAAAAAAACACTAGAATATTTTCACGAAGTTTCTGTTAAATGTTCAGGTAGCACGAAAATGATTTTTAAGTATCAAAACGTGGGCATGGAACTCATTATTTTCTATTTTTATCTGAGTTTATTCGTTAAATTAGATTAACATCCTCATTTTATTTTTTCTTAAAATTCAATGATTTTAGCATTAATTTATCTTTTCCACCATCACTTGCAAAGGATTTGCCAAAGAATGTTTTCAATTGACGGAAACTAAATCATCTTCACGCTTCGCACACAAAAAAAAAGACTTGGCATCAATCCAACGTTTGCCAAAAACGAATTTTCAGTTCCTTCAATATACTGCACTTAAAACACAAATTCAATTCAATAATTTTAACGAGCGAAATTTCAAAAATCACAGAACGATGCACATTCACTTCCGGAAATGATTGAGAAATATTCGATTCCAATTCAACTTATTTCGAATCCGCCACCACTTGAACTTTCTCGAAGAATAAAAGTTTAGGAATGCTAAGAAAAAACATAAATAGTTATTTTAAAAATAACTTTGATATGAATTTGTGAATTGAAAATAATTTCAAGATTTTCTTGTTTCGTTAAAATACAGTAATACTATAGTTGAGGGGAATTTTTGAAAGAATGGGAATTTATGTTGAAATCAACTTGAACAAATTTGAAAAAGTATGATGAAGAGTCTCGCATAATCAAGCCTCATGATTTACAAGCTCCACTTTTTAATAAGGTATTTTTCTAAAATTTCTGAGGCATGTTATCAATTCTCGAATTAAAAATATAAAGCATATATTTTCTGTACTTTTTAAAAATTAAAAAATAAAAGAATCAGATTAAAAAAAAAATTTCTAAAGTCGGTCCCAATGACTGGAACTTCAAATTCATCCCGTTTCTATAAAACCACCAGAAAAAAAATTACAAGGTTTTTTTGTTCAAAATTCACTCAACAGAAAAACAATAAATTATCAACCACTGTATTTCAAACGCGTTCTTAAAAAAAATTCACCATTCCAAAATATGTTAATGTGTCATTAGTTTTCCTTTCGCTACAAATTTTTGCAACTGATGATTTCACATGTAGTTCAACGCATACTGCATTTTATTTTCTTTCTCCATAAATAAATCCCATCAATTTCCTGTACAGTGGTGCCCCGGTTTACAGAAGTTACACCTTCAAGTGAAAGCCTTTTCAGGAGAGATTCTTAAAAATAATTTCATCATTACCACTTGAATAATTCAATGCATGAAGCCAATGAAATATTCTATCTGGAGGATAAAACACTTCTGAACTTGGATTGGTTATTCAAAAAGTTAAAACAAGTTTGTGAACTTTTCACTCAACCCATGCTCTGTATGTCTCATTTTAAAGACAAATACTGTAACTCAATAACCCTCAAATAAAAGTCCACAAATAATTCCAGATTATTCAACAGGATATTCCTAAAATTTCCTGAACCATCATGAAAAAAAAACACAATCCTTACTTTGTAAAGATTCCCGAGAAAATCGCCAGAAACACTCAAAATTTATAAGGAAAAAATAGTAATATTCAACACACTGGAAAATCATTCTGCTATACAGCCTCATTTATGTCACCATAAAAAAATGTATACAGTAGTACTGCAATCCAACGTCATTTCGTTCAATAATGATTCATCGTCACTCAGTCCGTTATCCGAGACAAACATTATTTTCATCGCGAAAAACCTGATGCTGTTTTCGCGCGGCGTGCGTCCGTTAACCACTGCGTAAAAATATATTTTTGAACTCGTCGTATATAAAAAAATTGCATCGTTTAAATTCCACAACTTGTAAATGAATGAATGAATGAATGAATGAATACATTTTTCCAAAATTTTCCATGGCCTTTCCGAATCGATCGCAAGAAAGCGACTGGACCAGAGCCGAGCGTCCAACCGCGCCTTTATACTTCTACACTCGGCAATCCGAATTCCATCATCAAACTCATGGACATCTTCCACCAATCAAACGAAAAAAGGAAGAAGGAGAAAAAAGAAAACAACTTCATCAAAGAATAATTAGATTCCCGTTATACTTGGGGGAAAGGGAAGCACAGCAAAAAAGACAAATCTGAGGCCAAACTTACACACAACAATAACACAAAACAAATAAAGGTCCAGTGGACAAAAAGGAAACGACGATGGAGCCACACACACACACAAAAAAAAGGAAGGAAAATCTGTGGTTCGCGTTCGTCACGAAACGGAAACAATTTCCACTTTGGATCCTGTTAAGAAGATGGAGAGAGAGAGATAAATGGATTTAAAAAAAAAAAAATATAAAGTAATAATACGTCGGAATAAAATGCTTTAAAAAAAATGGTGGAAAGGGTGGGAATTAAATTTTGATAATGACTCTGAATGCATCCATATATGCGTCCTCGTCGAACTTCGTGCTCACGAGGACCTTTTCCAAAATTCTTTCAATTTCAAAAAAGCCATTTTTACCTAAATGAATTTTCATTTGCATCTTTGAAAAAAAAGTAAAAATCGTCTCCTCTTGCGTTCATAATTTTCCAAATCCTTATGCGCAGTTTATTTGGGTCACATCATAAATTGTAAAAGAGAAGATGAAAAAGGAATAGTGCAATTTAATTATCCCTTAATTTGAGTATAGAAATTGATAATTATACCTGTGTTGTAATTCTTGAATTGTACACATTTTCCACTGTAAACTGGGGTTTACATATTATTGGTATTTTTCACCATTTCAAAGCTAAAAAATGAAGGAGCATTATACTCATCAATTAAATTCAATATTTTCTGTCATGAAGTAAAAATGTTCTTAAATAAAAAAATTTACAGTATACAGTAAACCCCTGCACAATGGACTTAACCTGTGCAACAGACTAGTCTGTGGTGTGAAAAGTCTGTTATGCAAATTCAATGATTACAGCATTAAAATTGTTCCTTTTTTAACCAATCATTTTAAACCAGTTGAAAGTCTGTTATGCAAATTCAATGATTACAACATTAAATTTTTTAATTTTTACCATTAATTTTAAACCAACAGAAGTCTGTTATGCAGATTTAGTCTGCTGCACAGGAGGAAAAACTGCCTCCAAAGGCAGTCTGTTGTGTAAAAGTCCGTTGTGTGGGGGTTGACTGTACAGTAATTTATTTTGGGTAAATAATTTCTGAGCTCAATTTGGTATGTTGTTCATGCTGGAGATATTTTATCTATTTTATTTTAGACCCTAGGATGGGCTCTATTGTAAATTATTATCCCAATATTAGCTACTTTATTTAATTTATTCAAAATATTGTCTTAAATATAGATTTATGTCATGTCTCTGCATATAAAACCCATTTTGGCAAATTACTTCAGAAACAATGCATGGAAAAACTCCCAATTTAAAGGATTTTTCTCTAAAATCTCTCTAACTCAATTTTTTTGGAGGCCTTTTGATAATCATTTTATTGATGTAGGAAAGTGAAAAGCAAAAAAAATGCAACTTGATGTGTTTTGAAAGGAAGTGGAAGACTGATTGTGCAAATGAAACCTTGCCTGAAAATTCAGCCAATCCTGTCAACTTCTTTGAAGAGCCTAGTTTTGTGTAAATATAAATGTAAAAATTTCATCTCATGCTTTAATTCTTTTCTTTTAATCATAATGGTAGTTTCCCTAAAATTCAAAAACTCCCCAAAGCAATTCTTTTTTGCTGGTCCCGTTGGAATTCTACTTCCATGGATGAGAGGTTCAATTTTAATTTGTAATATTCATGCAATTTCTTTAAATATTCAAATTTTTTTTGCCCTGCTGCTGGGTAAATATTTTTGGACGGAACTTCGGGATTTGTTTCGGTTTTTTGAGGTCTGTAACCTGGAAGCCCGGGCGTCGCCTGAGGCAAGGTCAAGGAGGCTGAATTATAGCAGGCAGACTTCCTGCTTCCTGGGTTCCATATAATCCCGCCCCTGTTTCGTGCTGGAATGCGGATTCATTCCCAGTTAATTGCCTCTAATGCCCTGGTTCCCCAGGCGAATGTCTTTCTTCTGTGTCTAGAAGGAAAGATATATCTTTGTCCGGATGTCTCTTTTCGACTGTATTGCTGGAAACGTTGGCATTGGTCCTTTATGTGGCCCACTATATTACCCCATTGCTGACTACTCTTTTGTAAACAAAAGAGTAGTCAGGGGAATAGGAAAAGGAGCTATTCAATGGGCCCCAACTTTATAAAAAAAAAATATATATATATATATATATATACCGTATTTACTCAAGTACCACGTGCACCTTTATTCTCAAATTTCAGAAGAAAAAAGGGGTGTTTGTCATAAGCCAGTAAAAATTTTTCAAGAAGTTTTAGGAAGTTATGCATGCATTATACTTTATTATAATGGAGAAATTTGGGAAAAATGTAACAAGAAAACTTTTTTTTACTGAAAAAGTTGAAAATTAATCAGATTTTTGTTAAATTCATGTCCAAAGTCAATTTTTTTGTTTTTATTTTCAAAATTTTTTGTTTTAGATTGAATAAAAATTGGGGGGCATGTCTTACTCAGGGATACAATTTTAGCCAAATTTCCACCTGAAAAACCCCTGTGCACGCCTTACTCAAGGACGTGTGGTACTTGAGTAAATACGGTATATACAGTACTGTATACAACT